AATTGTTACAAAACCACAAAATATAATAATATAGTGCGTATTAACTATTATAATATCTCATCGCCGACTAGTGCTCTCTAATTATTTCCACGGTAGCCCGAATAGCGACGCACCACGGTTTATGGTCATTTTGAAATCCGTTTTTCGTCATCATTATCATTACAATCATCATCATTACTCTCATTATTGTTATTATTAACAGTAGTAGTAATTGTAGCTGATATATTATTATAATAATACTAAGTAACATTAATTGTATATATACATATATATATATATATATATATATGGGTCGAAACGTCAAATACGAACGAACTTTTGAAACACCCCCCCTCGCGGATTTTTTTAAAACTTACCCTGCATGTTTGTTACGATAAAAATAATGGTCTCAATTTTTTTTTTAAATCATTCTGGCTATGGTCTTATATGGTCTTTTTAGTTTTTTCTTTACTCTATTTGTTTTATGGGTTTTTCACAGTATCTTAGGACATGAAAAAAAAAATTATTAAAAATACATTTTCTATGTAAAATAATCTCAGCTTTCTGAAAAAATTTAGATTTTTTTTTAAAGTCATTATAATTGAGTTTATAATCTGTATAGTTGGTTTTTCGTGATATAAAACTACCTACTAGTTATAGTCAAACTGGTACAAGTTACAATTCAATTTGTAAAATAATGCGTTATAGTTATTCATATTTGGTAACATTTTTTTTTTTCTATTAATAAAATTACAAAAAAAAAACCTTGTCGGGTAAGTGTTTCATTTAGTTTGTCCATCAGTTATGGTGAACGCTTTAAAAACTATTTTTTTGATGACATATGTTTGAGCATTAGGCACAAGGACCAGGGAGCAGGGAAATATAATCTGGTCAATAATCCTGCTAATCGAAACCCAAACCTGTAAGATATCTAATTCCTGCTAGAGTGTGCGAATAGCCAAATGCTGATCGGACGACTATTAATATTAGATATGTATTATTATTGTACAGGTACGATCCGATGTACGTTGTTTGGGCACACCGAACGCGCGCATTGCCAAGGTCAAGGTAATCTAGTTTGGTTCTGTGTATAACGATTAACCGCTCGTGTGTGTGTGTGTGTGTGTACACGCAAATTTGATTAAAATCAAATATATATTTTAACAGTTCATACCTATACTGATAGCGCATATTGTTATTATATCCAATGGTGTGGAGGTTTTGAGAAAAAAATTCTCAAAAAAAAAAAAACCGAAATCGGAAAACCACATGTTTATGCGACGTTCAAAACGGACGGACGCGATTTAATCGAGCCGGTGAACTGCTGTTAAAGGTCATTGTAAAAAAAAAACTACGTTGCCGTCGAGTCATTGCCAATGTTATCCGGAAGTTTAGCATAAATTATATTATTTACTTATACACGTATACACTCGTGTGGCTAATAGATCAAACGTTTATTTTTTTTTGGTAAAAACAAATTTCAACAGTCATTATTATATAAGAAAAAGAAAATTATACAACGCGTAGACCGTAGCCGGTCGGGTCCGGCCTATTGTACATAATAATATACTAGGATGACTGTTATGGTATTTCCACAACGTAAACAAAATAAATAAATACTATACCTATAATTATAAGTTTTTGTTGGAGGGAGGGGAGAGGGGAATTCATTTTATTTCTTCAAAGTCGTTTAGTTAAAATAAATCGGTTGAATTTTGACGGAATGCAAACAATGGAGAGTTAAATACTGCAACGGTCAACGTGAAGATACTGTTCATAGACGAACAGATTGTCCCACAACTAATAAGGACACACAAACTGTTTTTAGTTATTATGTCAGAAGGGTAATTTACAGCATCAGTAGGAGGAAATGAAAACGTCTGATGGCCGCGCCAGCTAGATAACCGGTCGACATTTTCCACGCCTGTTTTTAGAATAAATCAATTATTGGACAATTTGATTAATGAATAATTATTATTGTATCAGTCTTTAGAAGTACATATTGTCGGAAGTTTTTTTTTTCTTATTTCAGTAATCAGTTCTCATTGCGTTGTAATAACATAAATAATTTCCATCAAATTATGTACCGGTATATTGCACGTGACACTGTAAATTTAATCAAATTTTAATGGGTGCCAATAAAAATCGCGTGATAAATGTTTTCCTCGAATTTCGTATCTGCACTTTCATTTTATGGTAATTTTTTTTTATTGCTAGAGAGAGAAAATTGCCATTGTAGAATTGTGTAACTCATTTAACGGCTGGCGCAGTAACAATTAATAGGTGTACAATCATTTTCCGAACATTAATTATTTTTATTAAAAAGATTCGAAATTAAATAAAGACAATTTCACGGCAGCTGTATGACACAATGTCAATTTCCAGTGTCCAGCATTACTATTTTTCTTATTATTGTATTTTCTATTAGACAACCTGTTTAATTATTAGGAAACCCCTTCCCTAGTATGGAGCAGCGATGGTCCCACATAAGCTGCTTAAGCTGTTACCGATTGCTATTTTCTGCAACAACTTGTTAATTCTAATTAAAATTATTAATGAACACCAAAATTGTTTCAGAAATGAAATACTTATTTTAACTGAGTTATTTGTATCAATATTTACTCACCTCGCACAAAATGACTCTTCAGAACAAGTTCCATACAAAAATAAGATGATTGATGATAAAATAACTAACATTAATTGGTTTGTAACAAAAATGTACAATAATTAATATGGACTTCCTTTTACGTTTTGAGTGAATGTAATGTCAGTGAAATTGTATGCACAAAACATAATATGCAAAACAAAGCCTACGAAAAAAAGCAAACGCTTAAGTCGCAACAGCTAATCGAGCTCTAAATTCATAAATGAGTTATGTAAATAGTAATGAAATATTATTTTACCATATGAGTTGACATTCAAAAAATAAGAAACTACAGAAGACAGACATTTCAAGAGATTTGATTGATATAAATTGAAAAAGGGTAATTCAAAAATAACTGGTTAGAGTTGCAAATGACTTCCTCGAAGTTAGATAAATTGTTTATGAGCTCCAAAGTGAAAGGACGACGCATAGGGAGGAGCGATACGATATTGGTCCCCGCTGGTCTTGGATTACATTTACAAATTAATTATTATTATAACATTTTCAATTCCGGTAGGCAAATCAAATTATTCGCACTACAAACATCAATGTTAGATATAACAGCGATAATGAAGGCCAGAATATATATATTATATTGTATGATCTAACTACTTAATTAATTAATCTTTTTTAAATTTATACTTGTTTCAGTACACGTTCACGTGGCTGGAGAGTAAAGAAGAAGAATTGTTGTTTTAATAAGACTTTGATTTTACTAGTACTATTACAAAAATAAAATGTACACATTTAATATTATTTGAAAAATATGACAACTAGTTGCGTTGCCCTGGCTTCGCCCAGAGGGGGGGGGGGCTATGCAATATGTTAAACTGTCCATATGTCAGCTGTGAGCTTTAGGCACGCAACGCCATCTATTGGAATAAACTTTCAATGAAATTTAAAATTTTCCAATTTTCCAGGCAACTTTTCCAATTTTTTTCCCGCTAAAACCTTATTCGGACTATTACGAATATAAAAAAAAAAAATTGAGCCAAATCGGTCCAGCCGTTCTCAAGTGATGCGATCATCAACGAACAGCGTTTCATTTTTATTTATATAGATTTGTTATACAATCATTAACTGTTAACCATACGCCATACAGCATACTGCCTAACATACATTACAGTTTGTGATTATATCTAGGTGTTGGGCGTTTTATGGGTACAGCGCTATTTGGTCTGTATACTTGCAATTATTGAGGCCCATTAAAGGCAATTTTCGCTAAAACTTAACAGTAAGATATAATATGTAAGCATAATATTATTTTCACCATTGGATTCATTTTGATATTTAATTTTTTTTTGTTAAACTTTTACAGGGTGATCGTTTTATCGTGAACCACTCAATATCTCATGACTCGCAGGGTTTAATAAGAAATTAAATTTTCTTTCTCATATTATTTTTATACAATGTGATATCAATTTTTCACATTTTTTTTTGTTTTTACTTCCCTCTCAACTTAGTTTTTTTTATAGCAATTATTGAAGCTTAAATCGTAACGCTTACATTTCATTAACTATTTAATGTAGGAAGGGGGGTAAAAACAAACAATTTTTTAAAATTGAGATCACATTGTATAAAAACATTATGAAAAAAATTTAATTTCTTTTTTGGAATGTATCCAACACACAAAACTACACAAATTAATTTAAAATAGACTAAGCCTACACATGATGTTAAAATAGTTTTTAATTTTCTTATATATAATGTACACTTAGGCTAATAACTAAATTGTTGAAGCCTGTATTTGTACTCAATATAAAAAAAAACATTTGGATTCTTCATAGCATTATTAGGTATCGGTTGGGCACATTTTTATAATTAATAATTTTAATGTGAAAAATTGCAATTTTTACAATAACATAAAAACGAAAGTTAAAAATGTGATCCTTAAATGTATATTTTTTTCATTTTCAAGAGAGATTTTACTTATGAATAACATATTTTTTTTTTTTAATATTTGTCTATAAATAATTAAAAATGAGTGGACTGAGTTATTAACAATTGACTACAGTCTACACTCTACTTCTTAATAAATGGATTCTTAAAACAAAAATGATGCTCGGATATCATTCTTTGTAAAGTAAAATATTTCACAATGAATTTTATGAATTTAAAATAAGATCACATGATAATGGAATTGACATATCAGTTTTTTTTTAATATTCCTAGAAAAACGTAATTGTTCCTCTTATATTTTTTACTGTCAATTTAAAATCTAAAAAATATGTACAATTATAAGAATTTTCCAAATTATTTTTTTTGGTTTTTGTTAAAACAGGATGTACTTATTTTGGATTTTAAACGTTTACTCCCATTTGCCAGTATCGTTATCGTTGTACGCTTTGATTAGACATTCTGTTATCAGAACAAAATAAAATGTTTTCTGAAGTAAGTTTAATAAAATAATACGAAAAAAATCGTCAAATAATTTAACTATTAAGAACATATTTTATAAAAAGTATTTAATTGAACATCTCTTTTAAAGTTTATAATATTTTAAATTTAATACATACTATTATCAAGTTATCAATTATTCATAGCATTCTTGTTATTTTAGTGGTAGGTACATAGCAGATGAGTAAGATGATTTTATAGTAATATCATTGATTTATGAATATTTGTATTTAATCAATGTTAATATGAGAAATTTAAAAATTACTTGTTCTTATATCTTTTTGTTTAAATTAGATGTTTGAGATGTGTTGAGAGCTGTAAATGACTTTAATAGAGTGGCACGAAACTGTGTTTGTAATAGGCGATCAAATAGTTTCAGCAACATTCAATAGTGAAAATTGTAAAGTATTTGACAAAAATGGATTCCAGTGGATTGTGGATAAACAATTTTCTAGATTCTTTGGCGTATTTAAAGATCCACGTGAATGGAATCAAGTAAATTTTGTTTTACTATTAGTATAATATACCAGAGATATACTGAAACCATAATTGTATTGTTTTAAAAGATAAACTTTGTAATGGCGATGTTTAGCAGAAATTATTGTTCACAAAATTATTTTTAATCTATACTAAAATATGATAATTATATAATGGCCATTCTCACTGATTTGGCTTAATTAAAAAGTATTGTTTGACATCACTTAAAATTATAGGCTAAACAACTATTCTTAAATTTTAAGCTATAATAATGAGAATAGCCACTTGCTAGTAATTTATTGTATTTAATTTTGGCAGCCTAGCTACAATTTGTTTGATTTAAATAGCTAAAAAATATTTCACTACTTGTTCGACTATCATATTTCAATTATTGGTTTCTTTATAGGAAATACCAAAAACTAAGTGTGTCAAGGGTGTGTTGATGATAAAATATTCTTTTGTACTGTATTTGTTGTATGTTTTGTTTTATTTTTATCAGGAGGAAGTCTCAATTTGGATCAAATGGATAATAAATGAATACAAATTAGATAACCTAAACATTTCAAAATTTAAAATTGACGGAAAGCAGTTAACATCAGATGATTTTCGTTGGAACGATATTTACATAGAAGACAAATCGGCAGTTGATGATTTTTGGATACACCTCTGCTTGTTAAAAACTATGCACAATGTGTATACAAAACTGAAGGATGATGAGAGAATAGATGTTCCTATATTACTTAAATATAAAAACAGTATTAATTTTAATCAATGTAATGAAATTTGGCAATTTTTGTTGAATTTGTTAACTGACAGCAACTATCAAACTGTTATTGAATGGATAGACGATCTTGGCACTTTTAAAATACTTAAGCCAAAGACTATATCTATCATGTGGGGTCTTATGAAAAATAATTGCACTATGGATTATGCGAAAATGGCTTCGGCAATGAGATATCATTACGGAAAAGGTGTACTAAACAGAGCTAAAGGGAAATATGTCTATAAGTTTGACGCTGACATTAAAAATATGGTCGGTCATAGCCCATTGGAAATAAAAAATATGTTTAAATAAATATAGTATTATTGTTATGTTTGTTTCTTAAAAACTTAAACTATATAAAAAAAATACATAAAAGCTTAGAAGAAGAATGGCCTAAGGTGTAACTTGTCCATTGTGTTTTCGTTAGATGTTGGCCATATTTTTATTTACTTATAATATTGATTTTAAGATAAGCTTATAAGTAAATAACCAGTGACTAATAGACTAAAATAAAAATAGTAGTATTTAATAACACCATACATTTTTGTACAATATTTATTAAGTTAAATATAATTGAGCATTGCCATGTATTCATAGTCTTCCTTGAAAACATAGATTCTGATGTTTAACATCGTTAAACTGTATTTTTTTTGTCGTTTGATCATTAAGTATCTATTTTGTGAAATAAAGTTTATTTATGATATTTTTATAATAGTTAATATAAAAAGAAAATTAAAATGGAATAAGTTAATGTATAACTATCATGACACCGCCCGGTAGAACAATGACACAAATGCAATAATTTAAATTTTACAGGAGAACCAAAAAATTAAATTATTTTTCACTAAAATGTTAATAATTCATGAATGCACAATTAGTTATTATTACAACTACAGTTACATCGTTTTTCTACCTTATGCGTTCACTATATATAAACACATTGAGAATATTTAGTCTATTTTACCAAATTTCGCAGTTGTTTCATTGTTCTACCGGGGCGGCAATGTTATGTTTAGTATAAATTTAAAGATAATGCTGACCAACTGCCTTAAAAGAGTACAGTGTTCGCTAACACACTTCATCCTTAATCCTCGGTCATTGGTCCACAGTTTACCACGATTTTTAAAATTAATTTGATTACTTAAGTCAAACTTAAAATAATGAAATAGATAGGAACATATTAATAACAATGATATTGAAAGCGTTTAAAATACCTTTCTTAAATGATCTCAAAATATTGTCTATCGTAAGTAACAGAAAAACGGTTGAAACCAAAAACGCTCCAAACACCAAAGAATAATAAAAAAAAAAACTTTTAAAACCAGGTTTATTTGTTTATTTAAATATTTTATAATAATATGCCTTTGTTCAATATTTAATAATGAACTAAACCTAAAAAATTGTAGGTATTTGTTTTTGAACTAGTCGCATAGCCCAGCCTTGTCAATTGTACAACCAAATCATTGCATTTATAAATATTCGAAAGAGTATTAATTAAAAAAACTTAACTTACACATTATTTATTTTTTTCATGTTGTCTGTTGATAATTTTTATAAGCTTAGATGAAGAATGTTGGAACGAATAAATATAAAATTATTTTTTCGTGATAATTCAAGGAGTAAAATACTTAAATAAAGCAGATTTTTGAGGTCTAGAATACCTTTTTTTAAAAAATATTTTTTTTAAAACATAATTAATATAGTTCAAATTTTAATTTTTACATAAAAGTATTTAAATATATATACTACTATAAATTTATTTGGAGTTAATACCATCAAAGGCCAGAAGTTATCCGACCAACATTTTCCAACATACAAAAACATTATTAAATTAAAAAAAAATATACTTTCATAGAACTACACCAGGATAATACTATTTCGTTTTTAAAAATTTAAATCAATTGACATAAATTGATAAATATATCTTCTTTTATGTGTAAATATCATTTAACTAAAATTATAGTTTGTTATTACTAATTAGCCAATTGTTGTCGACTGTCGTTGCCATTTACTAACTTTTAAAATTAAGTAAATGCAAATTTAATTATTTAGTTAAGTTTATTATCATGTAGTATCACAAATAATATTTATTTAGTAAAAGGTAAATTTTAGACAGAGATCCCTGTATACAAATGAAATAATAGATCTTGTTTTGTTTGATCTTGATATTGTGTGCAGTAAGTTATTGAGGCTATTGGCAAATTGATTATTTTTTTTAATCGATATAGGCTTTATTTATAAAATGTCTTCAATGACACGTCGCTTTAACAACATCGACATTCGAAGAAATCGTTTGAAACGCTATGACGTTAACGCATCCCACTGAAGTTCCAGTGGAGTCTTTTAATTCGTGTTTTAGTTTCCAACATCCAAAAGGTAGCAACGGTATTTTGGTAACCACTTCATCTTTAAGTATTTGACGTATTCCCTGTCAAATTCAATTTAATACTTCAATTTAAATTCGCTATTTGACATTTTATAAAGCAGACAAATAATTTATAACAATACTAATATTAACAGTAGGTACATTCAATGTTATTTAGCCAATTAAATTCGTCGCAAAACCTCCACTGACGAACTATTTGTATCATAACAATTTTTTTTTTTGACGTTTTAATTAAGCTGTAAAATAGGGATAATAATTTAAAAATTCTTAAAGAACCGGTAAAAATATTTATTCAAAATAAGAGTGGTTTTCTGTGGTAAAAACAAGTTGTTCCGGTCACACTACACACGAACTTAGTCATTTCAGATGAAAATTAATAAGCATAGTGTAAAATTGAGTTGAGGGGGAATCGTGTTTAAAAATATTGTTTTCGTACAGACCTTTTTTACGGCGCATTCATTAGGCAAATCAACGAACTGTCTCACAACCGGAATAACACTTATATCCTCTTTTAGAAATACACAGACGTCCACTGTTCGTCCGGAAAATGCCGATTGTAATTTCCACTGCTTTTCTTTATAGTACACAGTATTTTGAGACTGTCGAATGATGAAAGCGCATACAATTATCTATGATATCATTAAATTTCGTTTTTCTAAGAACAAACCAACGACTTACAGTTATGTTTGAATTTTTATTAATATCTTTGAACACGGTAAAATGATTTGTTCCCGGCTCGTTCGAGTCTGATGAATGGTAAGTTACCTCTAACAGCGAATAATGTTTATCTTTTATGCAGTTAGATGCTTGTACCAAATGTGTTACATACGAGGGCTTTGGAACGATTTTGTAAAATAAAAACAAGTAAAAATAGTGCTGCTAGTACACCACATAATCACGTTTAATTGTTATTTATAATAGTCAGTTAAATATAAGCTTACCAAAATCGACACACCGACCGATTTACCCCATAGTGATCCTATCCATATGATAGTTGTAATAATCATTTTTAAAAAATAACTTCTTGTGGGTGTGTTCATATCAAGTTTACTAAAAGGATACGCTTGTTTCCACACTGTAGGTTTTCATAGGTACTGTAAAATTAGATTTATATCGTTGTATTCATTTCACTGCACGTCTGTGTAACCATTACCGTTGATTTCCTGAACAATCGACCTTCGACAAAATCATAACGAATGGACTAATGCGAAAGCTAAAAGTTAATCACCCGTGTACAGTAGGTACGTCCTGTAAATTCATACAACTGGGGCTGCCTGACAATGTGAGTAAACGGTAAGCAGCAGTGTGCAGTGTTTATTGTCGGCGGATACTTGTAGGCGTATATTAACAATTATTAAATGTTGCAGTGTTGGGCAAATTGTAATCAGATTAATGGTTAACGATTACAACTGAGAAATCTTACGGCTGATTAAAATCATTTATAACCGCAACAAAAACGATTTGGAGTGATTACATTATTCAGGTCTGTCGTCTGAAAACATAGACATACATTTTCTCAAAAATCTGTAGTCAACTTTTTTTTTTTATTAAAGAGAAAACAATTTAAGGGGGAGAGTCTCACTCCTGTCGTACTAAATTTACATGTGGCTTTAGTGTGATGACTGATGAATCAACTGCAGGAAATACACTCATTTTCATAAAGCATAGTTTATTTATCAGTTATCACACACTTCACATGTTTTGAAATCAAACGGACTGATCAGAAACGACTATAATAATTACGGACGTACATACATACATCCGTGATGAATGGTAACAATGCAAACGGTGATGATGATTCATGATAATATAATAATGATAATAATTACTATAGCGATAGTGTTTTTTAAATGTAGTTGTGGTTGGGTAGTCATTAAAATTTATGTAAATAAAAACTAAGCATTTTTTTAGCATAAGTTCGATAGTAATATTTAAAAACTGCATTTAAAAATAATATATTTATAGCATTAAATTGACCTGTGTAATTTTTTAAACCAAAATACATTATTTTTCTACTTTGGTTTTTTTTTCTTCTAAACGCGAAGGGATCATTCGCCTGATCATTAAGACGACACTTTTTCGTTGTAGTGTTTCTAACACACTTCAATTGTTTCACATCAAAAAAACTCCTAGATCCTAAATAAATTAAATATAGCATAAGAAAAAAATATTAGGTATAGATATCAAAAAAATAAAAACGCTACCCATAGATAAAGTTCATCTCTACACATTGTGAAAAATTAGCAAATCTACTGTTAATACTGGCTTCACATACTTGTCCCGCGCAAAGCAGTTTTGATGGAGAAAAAATTACACAACTTACCTAACTACTTAACATAATATGAAATAGATATTAACAATAATTCTCTAGTAATTTAATTAAAGTACACGATAGTATAATAATTATAATAATAATATATTTAAACTTTTATAACATGTCCAAATTCTATTAAATTGTATTGGATTTACTATTTTTTCTTTCAAATATGATAACTTCACTATTACCGATCAAATAATTAGATTTATTACAAAGTTTCACTTTCCATTTGTATGCTAGCACCTATTTATTGGTGTAAAATATTAAAAGTTCTAACATTAACGCACTCGATGCAATTTTCTTTACATTTAATCATCTCATAATTTATCTGAAATAGAAATATTGTTGTTACTCTTGTACAATATTTAAAACTATCTACTTTTAGTTAAACAATTTTCCAGTTTCAACTCGAATTTCGAAAGGCAAGTACGCCATCACATAATATACTTGGAGTTGAGCCACGCTTTTCCATAAGTGAACAGTGAAATTAAAGAATAACAAATTATACTAGTTTTGACTAGATTTAATAGTAAAAACATATAGACATTTCTCGAATAAATATGTTTAAGGTACACCTGAGATACAATAAATAGTATTTTAGCTTAACTGAAGCTATATATTTCCTTACTCATAAAATAATTGGGTTTTATTCAAATAATAATCATAAGGACCAAATTACAAATTTAAAAATCGTCGACAGCGATTTTTAAATCTACGTAATATAAAATCAATTATAGATTGCTTTTCAAGATAACGATACAATAACATAACCATAAAGCCAAAAATGCTTTATGACTGATGCAAAAAAATTAAAATCCCAATTTATAATTAAAAAAACCTTGAACCCGTAAATAAGAGTACATATTATATAATATGATTTTAATGCAATTTTGACGGTAGTGATTTTGATACATTCGAATGATTTGAATCAAACGTATAAAATTCACTATTTTAAAATAAATTACCTTCCTGATTGGCTTTTCACTTTTCAGACATTATAGTGTTACCAAATTAACAATATCTGTCCAGATGCTAACGAGTTTTTTTCCTATAATAAAAATCGATTAAAAAAAAATGGTAACGTCAAATTAGAATATAATAAGAAAAAACCAGGAGAAATAAAAATTCGCGTATTATTTTAATGGACAAATTACCTTTCTGACAAGAAGGGTTTCGAGTTAAAAAAACCTTAAAAATAACGCTAATACAATTTAATCTAAAAACAAGTTTACATGATCGAAAATTAATAACAAAATATTTTGTCCGATATTGCCTATATCTATTGCTCCTTAAATAAAATCCGTGCCCTTATGGACACACACAATTATGTTGTGACTATTGTTCGTATGCCTTATCCCGCTTACGGCTTATATATTATAATAATTGCTTTATTTAATTTCATGTACTTTTAGGGATTACAATCACAATTATTTTTATTAGTAATCAATTAGATTTTCATGATAATACATTTTTTAAGATTTATTTGTAAAATCTTAATTTAAAAGTTAAACTGCGATGTCTAATTATTAGTTCAGTAATTAGGACTTTTTTTTGGTAGTTAATTTATTTTTCGGGCTATCCCAGCATCCTTGATAGCGGTTTAAATTTTATTGCTTAAACATTTTGTTGTTACCTTATCAGGTAAATCGCAAAAATTAAAAAAATCGCGCCATTCCTAATAAAAATTGGAAAAAGTGCTTTGGAAGTATCGCCCCGGATTTATATAATTACCTACCGCATGACTATTCGAAAAATTATCACCTAAACTGATGGGTCATATAATGTTTAACATTTTGATTGTTCAGTATTTTGCGGCAAATTACCAAGTTCGATTACAGGACAAAATAAAAGTAGTATAAATTTCGTACATAATATTTGTATTATGTATAGTAAAAGTATTTTTATCTTCAACATGATTTTTAAGATTAGGTTTTACATACTATGATTTATGGGTACTTCTGTTAATTCGAAACTTCGAATAACACGGCTTAAGTGACGAGTCTTGAAAAAGAACACTTGTCATTGCCGTTGAATATTTTTTATTCGCTTTATTCGGCAAAGGAAGTAATGTCGTTCGGCACGTTTTAGATATCTCATTTATGGTATCATTGATAACCTATACCGGAAAGGAGAAACATATTACACTTTAGCGGCAGCGTGAGCGGCGAGCCGCATGACATAGTACACGGGTATGCCAGCAATTTGTGTGAGCCAAACAAAATGGCTGCCGCTGTTATCGTGGCGGCCACGTACTTCTGTGGCTGAACAGAAACAGCCGCCATATTAGATAAATTGATAACACAAGTTACCGGCATACCTACTTCGTTTTCCATGGTAAGCCAAGTGTCCCACGAGAGTTGCTTTTCACACACATTCGGCATTATTAACATTTTGACTACTAAAATGGCGTCGTGTTTGTTTCATATATTTAATATTGTATCTGCGAAGCATTTTTGTTAATAGAACTGATTGTTTAAAAATAATATATCATTGCTTTTAATAACTCGATTGTTAACGTGTTCGATTTCCAAAAAGTTTTTCAATTTTTCCTATAATATTGTCGATGGAAAGGCCGTAAGTTAATGTTCGTGCAAACAACACTGTATACATACGCTGGCAATTCAGAGAACTGGTAAATTTTAATATTTTATTCCTTAAAATGTATTATAGGTAATTCGACGGGATATTAATTATATTATAGAGTTTATAGTTTACAACTATGTTGCAATTTGATAATTCATGTCATAATTTCCTCAGCAGTTGTTGTGCTCAATTATCAAGTACAAGCCATTAAGATGCCTAAAAGGACAAAAGAATCTAGATCATCAAATCGTCATTCCGGTAGTCATTTTTCTCCAAAGCGGTCTACCCGAGGTCCAGATTATCCTATGGGACCATCCCGAGCAACGTAAGTCAACATATTTTTATTATTTTATAACCAATCTTTATTTTTTCTACTTTTAGTAATCTAGAAATTAGGCGAAGGCATAAAATTTCAAGTAAATAATCTCATGCAAGTTTCAGTTTAGTTTATGACCGCTTGCATTTAAATTGCCTTTTTTGAAAAAAAGCGTTACATCTTAATCCAAAAATTCACCCGGGTCTTTCCGGTATTCTCTAGTTGCAAAAAAAAAAAATTAAAATATGCGAAATTTTCCCACACAATATTGAAAGGCATAAATATTGAAACATTTTTTTTAAAATTGTGTTTCTTATATTAATTTTTAAGTGTTAAAAGTTTCCTAATATATTCCTAATTTAAGTTTACCTCATTTAAATCTAACTTGTTCCTAATTCATATTTAAAAATGTATTTTACAAATTAAGATTTTTGTACCTATTGGTTTTAAAAGAGAATAGTACTTTTACTAAAAATAATTAGTGAACCCCAATTTTTTACCAACAACTATTGTTGTATTCGAGGCCTATTTTTTATAGTAAAAAAATAATAATTAGTAAATGATTCAGTGATCTATATCTAACAAACAAAATTCATAACATTGTAATTGTCATGGTGGATAAAAAATATTGCATTACTAGTAGTGCCTTTCATTTTTGTATTTTGGCTGACAATATATAAAAAACTACTTAGCTTAATTTTATTAATAACACATTTTTATTTAGTTTTCCGTTATTTATTTTGTTTTCTGATTTTTTTAGTAGGAGTGATAGCCACAATTCCGGAAGGATGTCACCTCATTCAATGAGTGGAGGTGTCAAACAAGCTAATGGAAGCCTAAGACATCAAATGTTAGTAAACGAGTATAAAGAAGTACACGGAAATTTGCATTGATCAAGATTTGTGAATATTAATTTTATCTATCATTTTTTTTGTAGGCATGCAGATAGTCCTATCCTTATAGAGGACGATGACGACTATAAGAATGTAGATTCATCCGTGTTTAGAGACAATGGCAGTAATTTGAAACCAGATATCGGGGAGAGTACACAAATTGTTAAACATTTTGTTGCGTCTGCTGACAGGTTTGTGACTGGTACTAAATATTTAGTGTTATAAATTTATGAAAACAAAAAAACCTTAAGAAATAATTGCACAAATTCAATGTCTGTGTTAGCCCTTCAGAAATGAAAAAAAAATATATCTAAAAATTGGGATGTTTTTGTAGAATTGGATTTATAAGTATGTTTGTCAAATAGATAAAATCGTCAGCCTAATTCGCAGGTGTTCCATCTTAAAGTAATGTGATTTTGGGATTATTTAGTTTATCTTTTAAAAGCATCCCAACTCTAGTCGAACAATTATTATCCATAAAATAAATTGGCTGTTTTTATCGTTACACTGTTTAAGTAATAAACATAGGCATTTTTTTCTTCCTTTCTAGAAGTAGACTGAATATAGTTCAATGGACACCTTTTTTTTTTTTAATTGATAGTAGTTTTAATGCTGAATACGAATGTGTAAAAATTGGTTGCCGGACGAATGTTTGGAGAAATAGACATTTGATTATTGCTGATATCGACATACGTGGCGCCAGTATTTGTAGTTTATGGAATTAAAATCATAATAGGTAAAGCATAATATTTCTATAACTATAATGCAATAAAAACCTGATCTGGAAAAGATATTATTTTGGAATCTTGCCGCAAGTATTGTCGCGTCGTTTTGCATTACGATCTTCAAATGTCTATAACTCCCAAACTAATTTCGTCCTGCAAAAATTGTTTGCAAATTTGTTATTAGCATTAAATGTACTATTGATTAAAAAATTTGTATTAATAGATTTGTTCCAATATATTTTTTACTTTACAGCAGACACCATGTAACTAGTGTTCCTGAGAAGCCTATGTTTAGAGGTCCTGAGACTGATGTGCTACATGATCTTGTAAAAGACAAGTTAAAAATTATTCGTGTTCAAATGATACGAGCTGATGTGCCCCAAAGTGATACATATCATAAATCATATACTATTGAAGATGATGCATCAAGAACAAAAGGTAGGTGCTCTAATATTATGACAACAAACATGAATTAATACTTGTGATCTAGGTATTATATAAATTAACAGTACAATAGTCTAAAATTGTATTAAGTATATTTTCGAAGAAAAAAATGGTATTTTTAAATTGATAAAAATTACATTTTTCTTACAGTCGAAATATTATTGGCATAAAAGATTGATATGGGAAACGTTTTCAAATATATATCTATTTTGATTTTCATGCATTGAACTGTTGAATTTAAATAAAATACTTATAACTTAAAAATTGTAAGGGCAAAATAATTGTTATATTCCTATTAGTTAATCTGACAGTATTCTATAATACACAAAAATATAATTATTGCAGAAGATATTATATTCGTTTTAGGTTTTAACAAATTGTAATTTTAGGTTTGTTACTATAGTACGTGTGTAAGTTATATAATTTGTATTTTAACTAATCAGAGTAATTCCAGCAAAATACAAATTATGTGTTCATATAATAATTGTACAAAAATTATGAGCTAATGATACTAAATGTCATCGACCTATTAAGTAAATAAAACCAAACAAATTTTATAATTTAGATATTGGATAAATTAAATTAAATAATCATTTTTATCAATTAAAAGTGAGCAGCGTGTCCGAGTTGGATGAACAAGTGTCATCTTAAATATGATCGTCCAGTTCAACTTTGTTACCAGAAGTGTCTCTCCGGGCATGTGCCTGTCAAAAATAAGGAATAGCTAGCCGACTACTTTCAAACAATGTTTGATCAATTTGGTTAGGTTTGCAGTCGGCTAAGGTATTGACTTACCCATTTTCAATCCCATCTGATGGAAATAAATGTCATTGAGGCGATGTCAATTGTGGAAACAAGATATTTAACTATCTTATATATTCTAACTTACATTTTTTTCTTTCAAATTTTAAATTAATATTTAACTAGTAACTTATATTTATATTAGTGTCTTTGTAGAGATTAGAGAAGAACAAATAAGACAGACCTATTTGTCAAGCAATTTAAATAATAAACATGCTTCTTATAGAGAGAATAATGTTTATAATAATTTTATTTTTGATATTAAATTATATTTTAATTAGTTTAACATTTTTTTTTTATATTTCTTTCAAAGTATTGATTATTTAAAGTTTCTGACCAATTAAGCTGCTGTTTGCTAATCAAAATAAAATAAATGTAGATGATTTTGGCAGAATGTGTTAACTATCATTCTCTTTTGTGTTTTTCATTTTAAAGAAGTGTATGAATTTTGTATTAAAATTATTTTTCTCAGCTGCTCAACTAATTACAAGTGGAAAGCAAATATTCATGAATATGATATCAACATAGATTGTCATATCTGTAACTATAAAATGATATATTTTATCTCTGAGATGACATCTTTTAAATATAAATTTTATTTAATATTATTAATTATCATACATTTTTTAATTTTAATTTTAATTTTCATTACTGTTTTTATATTATTTTTATTATTATTTATATTTTATGACGATACCAAGGGAGTTATTGGATTATTATACCAAGGCAGTATACCAACACAGATAAATGCTAATTTATTTATTTATTTTATATTATTTTTATTTTTTATTTTTTATTTTTATTTTTATTTATATATTTATTTTTTATTTTTTGTATTACTTAGTACTGTTTGGGATATTGCAGAAGAGAATTAATGGATTAAATGAAGAGAGTTGAATGATGTTTGATGTTACATGATGTTTGTGATATTCTAAGATTATCACAAAAACGGTAGGTATACTCAGCACTTTTTTATACTAACATACACCCTTCAAAATAGTACTAAAATCAAACTTTATTAATTTAAGAGTTATCAATGAAAATTATTTAAATTTTGTTTTTATGAATGTAAAAAAAATTCTACAATGTATCTTTAAACACAACTAACAACTCTACGTATTTTTTTAAAAATTTTAACATCGTCTCCTTTCTCAAAAAGCATAGTTTCATGTTTTGTCTTATTTTAGACTAGAGGTAAACAATCTATTTTGAACGTTTCTAACCCAGTAATATCTTTAAACATCTTTGTTTATCTAGTGTTCAACATGATATTTTATGTATTAACTTAAATAAATTACATTTTTAATAAACATTTTCAATACTCTAAATTAGTTTACGAATAAGTCAATACTCTCATTTAATTTACTAATCAAGATTTATTTTATTTTTTTAATTATGAACATACAATATTAAAACTTATTTTAATGGTGTGTGGAATTTTTATGCATTTTGTTCTATTTCTATTATATCTATTAATTTTCACTTTTACTCTTTACTCAATATATAACTTAAAATTAAACTATCGTGTTTGCAAGAACCTCTCATCCCAAGACGAAATCATATGGACTATCGGAAGCAAAAATTGATGACTGATTATTATGTTTAATTACCAAAAGTAATAACAAAGTGAGAACTGAGAACAATAATTACAGGAATAAAACTCATTATTGAATGGATTAAATAATTACTTTTGACAAATTAATTTATGGTATCTTTTATTACACACTGTTTTAATGTAAGAGAATACAATTATTAAAACAAGTATCTAATTGAATGGATTTTAATTAATTAGCTTTTGTTAACAAATTATCAGAATTAGGCCATAGATATACTTTTAAAAACATTGATGTGCTAATGAAATAGTGATAGTAAAAATATTTAAAGATATTCATCGATTGAGTACTTCTCGAACTTACACAAGCAGTTTTACTCATTGTCAATGGCAAGACAACATTTCTACTTCACAATATAATTTAAAATTAGTTCAAGAAAAGTTAACAAAATGAAGTCGACAGCTGTGGAACTGTTTTTTTACTTAAAACAAGAATATTGATGATTTATTGAAGAACAAGAAACTTTCTTTTAGAAAAATTATTTAAACTGGTTAAATATATTACAATTCTTTGAAGAAAACAAATTTTCTTAAGATAATTTTTTTAAATACAATTTTTTAATTTATTTATTAACGCTTAAATTTAAATAATAATTTAAATGGTATAAAGTTTTTTTTTTATAAATATTTATAACAAACATCTAAATAATGGTTTTTTTATTTATAACTTTTCGTATTTTAGTTAATAAAGTCAAGTGTTCAAAGTTTAAAATGAATTTAATGGTTACCTGCTGACATTGCTGCTGTTGCTGTTACTGACACTGTTGAAATTTGATGTTTTACATTTTTATTAAAACTTCTATATAATATTAATGAATACATTATTTAATATTTTTTAATTAAAGATTTACAACACTCTTTACTAACAATTAATTTTTTTAAATTAAATTATTTTTTAATAACATTTTTTTTGTTTGTTTAGAGTAAAGTTATAATAAATTGAAATACTTTACTGCTGGAATTATGCTAGGATTTAGAGTACAAATTATGGTATATTTAATAAATAGGTTTTTTTTGTTATTTTTATCAAGACATTTGGTGTTAACAGGACAAAGCTTTCCTTTTTTTACTGTACATTTATTTATATTTTGTTTTTGTGATGTTTATACAAATATATATAAATGTATATTTATATTTATAAATCAAAGGTGCGGATTTACTGGCAAGGTTGTATTGGTAATTTATGAACTCTTGTGTTGCCAGTCAAATATAATTATTTATTTTTAAATTCTCAAATAAATGTGTAATCAACATTACGTGAACAAATAAAACATGTACAAATATTCTAAAATATATTTTTTTTAAATCTATGACAAAGTATACTTTAATATTATACCTAGTATAATATGGTAATGGTCGTTCCAAATGAAATCTTAATTAAAATTTTTTATTACAATATACAATATTTAACAGTTTAAAAAAAAGGTTTTGTTTTGGTTTACAAAAAGGATTTTGATAAATAAACAAAATATAATTTTTGAATGCTATTAGAATATAGTGTCAATAGTCAGCAATAATGAAGATAATATAGTCAAAATATGCTAACACTGTTTAGGGTATTAAACTTCTATTTTTAAAAAAATATTAAATGTTAAATAGTTATTCCTTTTACCAGAACAAAATCATAAAGCTGTACAATTTTACAATTATAATTTATTTACAGTCAATTTATTATATCAGTTCAAAGAAAACACTTCTCTTTATTATTTTATTTGCTAATTTAGAGGGAAAAAAAGAGTACTACAATAGTAAAACTTGGTAATTAATTATTTAATTGTCAATAGAACTAGAAATTGCTGTATTTAATTGAGGAACCTATTATAATTATAGCTATCTTTCATAATTTTTTTTAAAGATCTTTAATTAATTTTGTCAAAATATGAAGTATATATATATATATATATTTATTATTTATATAATATTAAGACAAAGTTTAATATTTGGCTGGTACCAATGTATTTGGGAGTATACAATTTATTTAAAAACACAAATTTGATTAAAAATATATGTATAATAATTATTTCTATATATTAAAACTGCTGTACAAATTCTGAGGTAAGAAAAACCGCACCTTTGATACCTTTAATATTGTTGAACTCCCCAATGAATTATTTTTGGCATTGCAAAATCTTTTTGCTTTTGTTAATTTTGCTTGTCACTAACATATTTCTCTGTCTATTTTATGATTATTCTTAAACATGGAGAGCCAATTTCTTTAAATTTTTCATTAAGTGCTATTTTCTTAGCATTTTAGTTAAGCAAAATATATTTTCTTAGACGGGGATATTACAAAAATGATCAATTTTTTTCTCTTCTATTTTGTTGAATACATTCCTGCTTATTATTAGAAATCTTTGAGTTTTGATCAAATCAACTTCGATATCAATTAATAATAATTGACAAATTAAAAGAAATAGTTACTGCTTTAACTAAAGATATATTAAACAATTTAATTATTATACGTTATTCTTCGAAATACATAATTAGCGAGTTAAAATTATTGAAGCTATAAGCTTAGGATGGGATATGTCTTCCAAGTTCCATTAAATTTGCAATTATCATCTCTGCATTATGTACAAAAACAAGAAAACCAATTGCCTAAGCACATCTACGCTAATCTATGTCTAATAACTATAACTATTAGAGTATTTTTGTGAAAATAGGTGATAACCATCAGCACTATGATGACCGTCAAACACATTTTAATCCAACAACTTCACATTATGATCATGGTATGCAATCGATACATTTTTTTATACAATTTTATTGATAAAAAGTAAGTTGTCTATAACAATATTGTTTGATTGACATTAGACACAAAATATGGGTTAAGTCCTCATAGAGTATCACGTGATCGAAGTTTATCGCCTCGTAGAGGCAGTCGTCCGCCTTCTCCTCCATTGCCGTATTCTTCTAACATCGATCATTATGCGGAAACTAATACACATAGAGATTCAAGGTCTAAAAGATCTTCGGATCGAAATGTTCATGATCGTAATAGCAAAAAGTAAGATTTCAATCTTACAACAAAAGAGCTAATGAATAAATAATATTATGTTTTTCTACATTGTTATAGACATAATAAATTTGACGATTTTGCGTCTGGCCCTCCGCCAGAACCCAGATCACCTAGTAATTCACACTTCCGTTCATCTGATCATCCCAGACGTCGTTCTAAAGACAAATTGGTGCGTTATGACAATCGCCAAAGACATGGTGATAATTCATCACCTCCATATTTGGAAAATCGCTATCCACCATTCAGGAGTCCTTCTCCTAATAATCGTCCTTTTTCTCCTCCTAATGAACGCCCATCTAGAAGAGTGCCATTCTCACCTCCTCCTCCTCGTGAACTATCTCCTCCCTTGAATGACCAAACACCTGATGAACGTGCTAGGAGAAGACGTTCACCAGTTTCGAAACGTGATAGATCCAGAGAACGTAGACGACGCTCCTCTCCTAAAAGAAAAACTCCACCAACTGCCAGGTCACCAAGACGAAGAGGTTAGTCTTGTAATTAAGTTTTAACTTTCAATATTGTAAATCGTCAACTGGCCAAAAGCATACTACTGTTAAATTAAATTCAACATTTTTATTTTTCACCCACTAGGTACTTTCTTAATTAACAGATATCAATGCAACTAGAGGGACAACTATAAAATTTGTAGAATTGAATGCCTTAGATCAGTGGTTCCTAAACTTTTTTGTTTACGCATTCCTAAAAATTAAAATAAATAGTCACGTCTCCCATGAAAAAATAAATTACAAATACTCTTCGTACTAGTACGTTACTTTTTGAAATTATTGTTGATCTAAAAATATCAATATTTACCTCGCGCCTCCCAAGGGAGGCACGCCTCACAGTTTGGGAACCGATGCCTTAGATTATTAAATTTCCCCCGCTTATTTTTATTTATCTATTTAACAATTGATGTTGGTTGGAAGGAAATCTAAAAAAATTGTTTTGTTTTGCTTCTGTGTTTATAGATGTTTTTAATACCTTTTTTTTCCAAATAATAACATAACAATCCAAAATATATTTTCTTGATTATAAAAATGTCAAAGATTACATATTCTGAAAATAGTAGATACAAGTTTGTAGTTAATGTATTAAAAAAAATCCCAGCGAAATTTGTTCAACGTTTTTTTTGTTTGTAATATTCTTAGAAATATTACGAAGCCCTTATTAAGCAATTGGGTAATAGTAGGCTGTAGCATGAAGTATTATATGGATTTATATAAATAATAATAATAATAATAACAACAACAAACTCTAACACTTCAATTTGTTTTATTTTTTTTTTTATATATAAAGAAATTGACCATCGTAGAAAACGTTCGACATCTAGGAATCGCGAAAGGAAAAGAGAGGGTCGAGAGAGGAGACGACGATCTCGTTCAAAATCAAATTCCCCACAACAAGTAACATTTTTACTATTAACATAATCGTTAATCAATAATACAAATGTACTAAATTTTTTCTTAGGATCAAGAAGATTATAGTCCTTCTCAAAACCAGCCTGTATATCCTGCACCACCACATGGAGTTCGCTTGCCACCACCAAGACCATATCTAGGACCAATGATGATGCCATTAAGACCACCGCCACCTTATCCCCCTCCAATGGGTGCTTGGAGGACTCCGAGACCACCCATGCAAGGTCCACCACCACCTGGTGGCGCCTGGCCATATCCACGTAAGATTTAGAAAATAATACTTAACTATAAATTTAGTATCTTGGAAAATACCCTAAGTATTTTTTTCAATTTGTTATTGTTTCAATTTAAGTTATTCTGTTATTTGTAACCATATATTTTCTTAATTTCCTTTACTTTCTAGCATAACACAATTTCAGAATTTTATAAAGGGTCTAAACAAATTATAGATATTTTTTTTTACATACCAACAGGCGCGCTTTTGTAAATAATAAAACAGCTCTGTACTTATCAATATTCTTTACTTAGATTGTTATCTTTGTGTGTATACATTGTTTTTATTAGTTTTATTTTATTACAGCCTAATACTAAATTAAGGTGTAAGGTAAATGCATTAATATTTTATTTAAATTAATCAAATGTACCTTTAAATTATACAACGTACGACTACTCATATTATCACAAATTGCGCGCCTGCTGGAAGGTTAAGAAGGAATAACAATTTAACAAACAGCAGCAATGTATAGACACTTACATTAATAAGTTGCCAGTTTTTTTTATTTGACTGACTGATAAACTTGGTTTAATACAAATTGTACAGAAATCCCCTCGTAGACAAACGTTTTGTGTACTGAACTAGTTTTATACAATGGACTACAAAATGAGTATAGATATAATGTCTTAAGTATATAAGTCCCCCTTGTTCGTTCTGACATCAATGTAGATAGTACCTATGTAATTATTATGTAAATAAATTAATGTATGCCATAATTTCAATAAGTTAGATAACTATACGTGATTGCATGTGTTTTTAATAGTTTCTAATGTTGTTTTTACAGGTCCCAGGCCATTTTACTTCCCCTATTAATTGGAGTGAGTTTGCTTAATATATCATGATAAAAATATTACTATTTTAATTATATTTATATATTAATTATAGTTTTACAAATGAGTTTTAATTTATGTTATTGATATTATTGGAGACTTTGCAAAGATAACAATATTAAATTGTCAAATTAAGTTTTTTTTATAAAACTTCATAATAATACTTTATACATACAATTATAATAATGTAATATTAACAATTATAATGAATCAATACATAATGATACGGCACAGTGGTTTTAATATGTTAATTGCCATTAATTATTATACATTAATGATGATTCCAGATGGTACCTGTTTTAGATTTAATTCCTGAAGACCATATTTATTTTTCGACAATGTATTGTTGTTTCTCAAAATGTGTTCTAAGCGAATAAAATCTGAGAGTGCCGAATTCTTCCAAGCCTTTCTACTAGCGACCTTATTCTACACTGTTGTTTATACTGATTACATTTATTTTTTAAAGTAGTCTGTTTTGCTAATATCATTTTAAACCTGGCAAAACACAAGACTAGGCATTACGTAAGAAGTTTATTTTTTACTTTTAATAACTTTCGACATGTCATTTATTTAAGGTGTGCTAACTTAACAAGTTCTTTTTTAATTCATAAAAAGTACATGCCTATACTCAAATTAAAAAAGTTAAAAACATCAAAAATTAAATTTTTAACAAAAAAAAATTTAAGAAAATAAATTTAATAACTTTTTAGTGTATAGCCAGTGATGTGAATCGTGATTGGGTCTACTAGTAACTTTTTATTAATTAATATATTTTTTTCATTATTAAGTATATAAATTAATATTTCCTTTTTTATCTAAATGTATAATTTATTTTGATTTAGCTTTTATTTATTAATTTGTTTTATATATTTTTCATTATTGCCTAACTAACTACAGATGGCTTTTTGTTAAGTACCAGAATGAGAACTCATTTATGTATACTATACAAACATTAATAAAAATTACAAATTAATTTCAATGACAAACTGTTAACTAAATTTTTTTATTTCTTAAAATAGTAACTCAAAAAAATCTGAAAAAAGTAATTTTTTAATAAACTCAAAATAAAAATTATCATGTCAAGATTGAAAAAAAAACTGGAAAATATACGCAACATATAATTTATACTTTGCCAATAATGTTATCTAAAATAAAGAGAAATTGGCTACAAACAATAATAATAGCCTTGTATGAAAAATATTATTTGTCTTTCTAAAATTAATTCAACTTCGAAGAAACAATACAAAATCTGTTATGAGATAAAATTGTTGGCAATATCTCCAACGAAGAAAATTTTTCTTTACATGTTAAGGTAAGCTTGGCTTATTGTTTATGAACAGTTATATAAATTGCAATCAATAAAGACGTACATACTTCTTGGTGATCTACTTCCTGAAATAGTAATAAAAGTTGAAGATTCTGTGTGAACAAAATAATTTTTATTGTGATTCACATTCAAAAAATAACTAAACCTCAAATTTACAAGCTTGTAAAATTATATAAACGACTCTGTTACGTAGTCGGCAATGAACGACAGCTTCTTTTCATTTTAATACATATAATTTGTGTTTATAAAATATAATAAGTGGTGAAAAAATGTAATTATTATTTTTTAATTCTAATTTGATTTTGTGACATTTACAAGTAAAATTACCGTTGTATAATATTTACAGGTAATTTGTTGTAAAATGGATAGTATGTGTTAAACTATTAGTAAATTTTTTCTAGTTAAAAAATTGTTTACTATTTATAAAATTTGCAATTACAAAAAAAAAATGTATTTTCATGTAATAAATTAATTGAATTTTGTTATTTGGAAATAAAATGCCTGTTTCTACTTTCTATACAACTCAACTACTTGTCACATGATAAGGTATAATAAAACAAAATGTTTGAGTTCTATATAATAAATGTATTTATTTTCTTTATCATTATTACTTATGAAATATTATTATTCAAACTGAAAATAAGAAATTAAAAAGGAATTGTCTTCATATAGTGTAATTACAAATTTTCTCAGCAATTTTTATAGTGAAACACGAGACCACAAACTTGGTAAGTATTTTTATAGAACTGTAAAAGGTAAATATAACAAGTATAGGGAATAAAAAAAAACATGAGGCCAACATAAAAAAACAGTCACTCACTATTTTTCCTAATTACTATTTACTGTCATTATTTTGTTAAACTTAAAAACAGTTGTAAATTACATTTTAAATTTTATGGTTTTTTATTATGTATTTATTTTAATAACAATTTATTTGATTTCAAGATGAAATTGCAATGCATTTAACTATTGTTATGTGACCTCAAATTTTTAGCTCTTCTTAGAAAAAAAAATTTACTGTAGTAAGCCTAACCCAATTGAAGAAATGCTTGTTATTTTGTGTGACAAGTCCAAAGAAAAAAAAATCAACTTTTAAAAATAAATGTGATATATTACAACGTGATTTGATCAACTAAAAAAAAAAAATATGTTTAAATTAATTGTAGTGTGCTAAAAAATGACTAAAAGTATGATAGGAATAGTAAAAATATGATGTTACAACAAAAATTTGCTCAATTTTTATTCTAAAACAATATTAAATGTATCGATTTACCTATCGCTATAATCATAAGAACAATCTGTTAAAACCATTAAAAAATGTATATTATCATCACTTCCATCATACTTTTAGCTTAAACACCATTTTTTGTTTTTAATAAAAGTTAAGTTACAGCCATTTCAAACGGATCTGGAGAGAATAAGTCTAGATTTTCAGATCGTATCCACATAAAGATGGTAAGCAATCCCAAAAAAAAAGTGGATGTTTCATGAAAAAAATATATATTATAATATATATCAATTAAAATATGACTACTTATACAAAGAATATTTTACAAAAGTATATATTTATTAACTTTGAATAAAAAGTAACTGACCTAAAAATCGGAAATGTTCATTTTTACCAATTTATTTTAATTACTTAAAAAAAATATATTAATTTTAACGTGTTTAAGCTTTTTTGAATAGAAATATTATGTGGATAGTTCTCAAATGTATCCTCAAAAAAAAATCTTTATAATATATTATTGTAGCAGCTGCCTATATAAATATCTTGGAATATTTCAATGACATTAGAATAACATCATTCATAATATTAATTTAAACTTTTTGTATTAATAATATTTAAAGTCCCATAGTATTAACTTAGTGTATCTAATATTCTAATATAAATGTAAATATATATTTATGTTATTACACTTGTTGAAAATATAAACTATTATTATTTTTTTTTAACTCTGAAGTTGTACATTTATTTAATAATCAAACCTTCTGAAAGAATAATGATCCAAAAAATGTGTGGTATTATTTAAGTGTGTATCAATACAATACAATACAATAGGATATATTTTAGAAGTTATAGTTTAAATGTATAAGTCAATAACTATTAACGATTGATTGATACATGCTGTTCTGAGTTGACGTAAAATAATGATTATTGTTTATTTCCATTGCAATTAGTCATGTACAACGACCAAGTACTGTTATTATTACAATTAGTACATTACAATTATTTTTAACCAATAAATATAAAACAACGGTAGTCCCGATTTTTTTTTTGTTAAAAAAAAATCAGTTACTTTAAGTAAGAAAGTAGGGAAAAGGACCTTAATTCCGTTTGTGTAACCTAAATCAAATTGACTTTGACATAAAATGTATTTATTTTATAAGTAATATATTAAATAAGTAGGCAGTAAATATAAAATGTATAACATAATGAAAAACAAAAAAAAATTCTAGTATATCTACATTTTGTTTGATCCCTAATAATATTATATAGTAAAACTAAAATTGGTACACAACTTTACAAACCAAAAAAAAATCAAATCAAAACACACAATAGTTTATACAACACCATTTTAGTTTTACATGGATTTTACTTTCAATTGTTTCATTCTTGGTGCTTTTTTTTTTTGCTGCCGTTTCATTTCTTTCTCCTCCCATTTTCGCTGTTTTTCTGGGTCTTCCTAATTGTGACAAAAAAAAATTACTTAATTACAGCAACAGTACTGACAATCAGACTTTATATAATTCTTACTTTTAAAATTCTCTCTTTTTCTTGTCTTCTCTTCTCTTCTTTTCTCGCTGCAGCGGCCTCGGCTCGGGCTGCATGAGTCGTTTTTAAAAATGCTTCTTCTACGCGTAGTCTGTTTTTCTCAGCTTTACTTTTAGCCTTAGAAAATGTAATAAATGTACACGTTGCACATAAAATTTTGATTAAAATTTTTTTTTTTTAATTTTGTCACCTCTTTACTAATTCTCAGTCGCTTTACACGTTCCATACACTGGAATACAAAAGACAGCAATGGATACACGGCACCGATTGCTTCTTGTGGATCCGCGTATTTATCAGTCGGAATAACGAATGTGAAATTTAACACTTTCTTTACAGGCGGTAACTTTGTTGGTACTGCGGCCTCACTACATAATATCATTACAAATTGTAAAATATTCAAATAGAATGTACTTATAATTTTACTCACTCCTGAAGTTTAAGTCCCGAGTATCTATCGGAAAAGTGCAAGTAGTCAAAAACATCAGAGTACTTGTTTAAATAGTTAACAGTCTTAGGATCTAATAGGGTAGTAGCCACTTCTCCTAATTCACTATGAACACTAAATCCATCAGTCAAGCCGTAATTGGCACCAGGTTTACGTTCTGGACAAAATACACTCTGCAAAATACATATATATTTTTAATATTTGTTTTCAAAACTTTTATTGTCTGACAATAAACAAAAGTCAACCTACAAGGTCAGCCATTTCTTTTGAAAATCGGGTGGCCGTCTTCTTAGATGCCACACAAAATACAAAGGTATCCATATCTTCTTTGTTCATATCAACTTTGATGTGCACTTCATCACGAGCTGGTCGTAATAACTGACAAAACATTGAGGCCAAGTCTTGTCTCTGATTTTGGTTAAAAAAGTATTATGAAATATAATATTAACATGTACAAGCATAGAACTAGGAATGAATACATAAGACTGTGTAGTTAGGAAGTTTCGGCAAAAAAAAAGGGTTATGCAAATAAGTCTATACTCTGCCCAGGGAGAGAATGTGTCTTCGCAGATACCAAACACCATTCCCAGCTGTGCAGGCGCATATGAAATTAACATATTTTGGCTTTTGTGTAGGTGCATTTACTTACTGGACAGAATATAGATGATATAAGCATGTTGAAACCAAAGAAGTATTTAGACTAAATAATGGCGAGGGAGGGAATATAAAAGGATGTTAGATTCACTCAGTTGAGGAGTAATAGAAAATTAAATTAGAATATCTTCTGGAACAAGAAAGAACTTTAAAATTAACTATGACATCTTAAATAGGTACCTTAATAAATTTTAGTTCGACAAGCATTCCCTCGCAGCATGTGCGACCACTACACCATAATGTATAAAAATTCTCAGTTTCTTTGATTAGGCCACTATTTTCGACTTCAATCTTGCCATCATCACCTAAATTTAAAACCAAATTACTACTGAATGTCACGAATTCAACTCGAAAATATTATCAATTGTAAATTGATATAATTACTGTTGTATAAAAAATATATATATTATGTTAAACAAAAGAAATGTGTCGGGCGATATAAAAAAATAGGATATTAATCATTTTATACAAGTATTAAAACATTAAAACCTGTCATGAGTAGAGAAAATTCAAGAGGTAATTTCTAAAAATAAATACAAATTTAAAAAAAAATAGAAGAACCTGAAGAGTGGTTCAGAAGAAGCTCACAAGTCTGTCATTATTTAAATATTTATAATATTTTATAAATAATACACTTACCAACTAATGAAAAATTATCTTCCAACAATGACTTGTGAGTTTTCAACCAAATGTCAGCCAAACGAGCATTTTGAGATTTGCCGTAGAAGAAATTAACAAAATATCCAATGATGCCCAATACTAGTATAATTTCCATTATGTAATGGGACCAGTTAGCATGGAAAGGTACAGGTACAGAAGCAATAGTGATTTTTGGATCTTTATCAATAACACGTATCCGTTCTGTGTTGAATCCCTCAAATTCTTCTTCATCGTTAAAATGTTCAAATTCATCATCGTCCTGTAGAATTTCAACAAATTAGATTAATATTACAATGTACATATAAAAATGTTTATAACAACTTGGGAAAATTTAATTTTAATTTACTTCAACGGTAATCGTAACATCGGGTTCGACTTTGTCTGCTACTGAAAACGTAGCATCCTTGAGAATCCTGTCTCTATTAATGCCAGCCGAATCTTCAAATTCTCCAAACTCGTCGTCGTCTTCGACTTCAATATCAATTTTACAATTCGAATAACTTATTAACACACACAAAAATATGACTAGATAATACTTCATTTTCGATTTAATATTATACTGGTAAAATGTAATGAAACTAATTATAATTAATATTACAATTTGATAAATATATATAGGATCTTAATTTTTATTTTTAATACATTCCAGTTTGCATTGATATTCGCTGTAAGGTGTTGCCCATGATAGAAGAACTTGTTCTTTTATCATAGTGTTGCGGTTGATTTGTACTAATTAATGATTTATCAATCCATGATTCGTGCTGCGTGTAGCTTCTATCTCATTCATTATCACAGTTGTTATCGTTAAAAAAATATCTCATGGAAAATAAAAGTAAATGCATATAAATCGCATAGACCGGTTTTAAAATTTTTTTTTTCGATATTCAATAAAAAATGTAGGCTAAATTATGGTGATATTATATTGTTAATTGTAATAAGCATGGACAAATATTTGTTTGTTAATAAATGTTTAATTTAGGATTTTCATTAAATAAATGTGTTTATTTTATTTAAAACTATAGTAAATAAATTACTTTAGTACCAGGGTTTTCTAGAATCGGTACCTGTTTAAATCCGATTTTTATATTTTTATTTAAATTTAAATATTTGTCCGGAACTTTTAGTAATAAATAACAAAAAATTAAAACTTTATTTGTAAAACAGTCAAAATTTGATATTTTTTTAGTATCAATTATATTTATATAATTTATATCGATTAATTTTTTAATAAAAATTAATTATTTTACTCTACTAACAAATAAGCTTTCTGAGGTCTGTCTGACTAAAGTACCTTTTATCTATTTATTTTAAGGAGTAAAATGTAGGCAAACTTTTTATTGATCTTAATACCAATGCCGGCAACATTATTAAGGGGCTAACGACAGACAAAATTTGTCAAACATGCTACGTGCTAAGAAGCTTTAGAATTGTTAATAATTATGTGTTCGAATGATTTTAAAGTTTAAACTAATATTTTTTTATGAATTACGACGGTTGATTATATAAAAAATACTTTACAGGAAAAGATATCCTGATTTAAGAGGGGGAGGGAGGGGTAAGTATGACCTTTGTTCTTTGTATAGATATACTTTTACTGCTTTAACTATCCGACTTCGTCCGAGATCAAATATTTAGATTCACTATAAACACATAGAAAACCCATCGTTGTAAAACCATAATTTAATTTAGAAAATAATCAGTAGTATAAAAACCGCGTATAATACTTTAGCCTAAATATCGAATTGTATGTGTTTGGTATACACGCATAAAACTAGACAAATGAGAGCTAAGTGGACGGACAGTTTGCAGAATAGAATGAAGGGAAAGGTGGATCTAGTCTGACGAGAAGTAACCGTGTTTAACCGCCTGCTAGATTAAATATGATATGCAGCCCTAAGGCGAAGGTAAGGTCTTTAAGGGTATATGAAATAAAAAAACAGAAATCGCTGTTTGGCAATTTTAAGCGTTGCAAAATCAAATACAGAGAAGGTATTCAAATCTTCGAGGAACACTTGTGAATTGTGCTCTTCATAGACGCAGTTTGTGGGGGGTTTGGATGTGGATGGCTGTTATTTATAAATAAAGACATGGATGAATGGCAGTTAGAGAATGGGGGTTAAATGATATGACTGGGGTGCTATGTGACCACAAAAAATAAACTCTGTACTCTGTAATCAGTGTCCTGGTTATTAAATTTGAAAAATAATTCGATGTAGCTCATTTGAAAAAAATTGTTTAAACAAGTGAAAAATAACACAACCATTGTTTTTTTTTTTCACTGATCTCGCGACACCGAAGGCTAAACGACACTTGTAGTCTTGGAATATCGCGAAAAAATGTTTGCACTGTGCACAGGAATCAAAGTGTTCCTACCCCAGCAACAAAAACAAATTATATAAGCAATAAAATATGTAAGTTTTGGCCAGGAATTGTCCCATATTATTTGCCGCGTTTTTTTTTTGTTTTGAATTTTATTGCAAATTGATATCCTACATTATGAGACGTAGGCTTAAAAGTTAAAAAAATCGATAAAAATCATTTTAAAGGCCAAAATTTGTTTAAAATGTATTTCAATTTATTTTCTGTTAGGTAAGGTTACTAATAGGCAATACCGCGTTAACAATAGAATACAATTATTTTTCAGATACCGGTTGACTAATAAAGAAATAAAATCCTACGACTACGGACTGCAGACAGCCATTCTAAACTTCTGGTAAGCTTTAGTTTTAATAATTTAATCTATCATAAACCTCAAAGCATTCTACCAGGCACTAGCCATTCGTGTCTGTAGTCGTTATCGTTTATAGCATTTTATAATCAACTTGGATCAAACTCAAATTGAGAAGGATTTAGGAACAACACAATATTTGGAAATTTTCCAAATAATAAATTATAAAATTTGTTTTTTTTAACAGCTAGCCGACCGGCCGTTAACGGAATTATTTTAAAATGTGTAACAAACAAAATCCATGCCTCTATAATGCTTATAAATGCGTCTAAATCCTCTTTAATTTAAAGATTAATGCCATTGTTAGTTATACATTTTATTAATAAATATGAGCTCCATAACGTTGGTATAAATCATTGGCCATTGCGAGAAAAACTACTCATTTTATTTTTATTAATCCATATAAAAAAATGTCATACACGATCACAGTAAAATTGTATGATTATTGATTATTAATATTATGAAAGTTATTATTATTTGTCTGTATACTAAAATGTAAAGTAGGTACTAGGTTTTAGCGCAAACACAATGTATGTTTTTGTTCTTGAGCATCGTCACATAATGTATGTATAGATAATAGCTTTGGACATTTCATATTGGTTAAGAAGATGTTATACGAGTACTTCTTATTTTCTAGCGTTAAAGCATACCTACATTTTATTTGATCTGTGTAAGAGCAAAACTACTTATAACAAAAATGAAAGGTTCCACGATTTTGGAGACAATAACATATCCTATTTTTCATAAACCTAATATTTAACATTTAAATTAAATTTTTTAAAATAACTATAACTTATTTGTACGTTATTATATTTAAAATCGGATATGACATTGTATGTGACATTTTTTGTTATCTTTTGATTTTGTAATGGGTATTTTTGCTCAAAAACCTCTATGGACCGATTAAAACGCATTCTGCGTAGCTATATGTAGATGATTTTCTTTTTAAATCACTGCCAAGGATACTGTGATAGTCCGAAAAAAAATTAACTACCAAAAAAAATAGTCCTAATTACAGAACTAATAACTAAACGTCACAGATAAACCTTTAAATTAAGACTTTCAAAAGATTGCCTATACTCAACTCCTTAAAAAATAGAACCGCCGAGTAACATTATATATATATATATATATTTATGTGTTGGTATGTACTGATAAACAATACTTTTTTTGTGTATCACGAATAGCGATATACTTGAGTAAACTTGATAGCAATAAGTACATTATTGTGAGCAATAATTTTACATTATTGATGATTATTGGGTATTATCTCTTTAATATGCGCGAAGACAAGGCCGGCGACGATACATTAATAATTTAATAACAATAGTTCATTATGGTTACATTAGTTCAACGAGCAATTTGATTGAAACGTGTTCAATTAAAAATGTTGACAAAACTTTCTCTCAACAGATTATATTTTATGCTCGGTCGGTTTTATGTGTGAAGTTTATTTTTTTTTAATAGATTTTATTTATATTAGACATAAAAATTGTCGTTAATCTAATATAATCAAAAATTTCAGGGCGATGGTTTCTTTTTGTTTTTCTGATTAATTGCCGTCGTTTGGACGTTAATGTCTGTTTCACTCCAACCAAAAGCTGTTTTGATGATTATAAATTATAATAATTCTTTCTCGTCAATCTAATAATATATTAATTATTATATTAGCTTCGGTACGGAGCTGAGAAGATATAGTTTTTATCTTTTATTTTTTTTTATCTAAATAATAATTAAACGATATTTTTCTTGTACAATTACCAATAAGTGATCAAATTGAGAAACGAAACTAAAACTCTCCACGTGGAAATCATCTCTAATAAATGAAGAATATATATTCTTCATGTTATATATAATTTCTAACAAAGATTTTCCGAATTTTCCACGCACCCTCAGGCACATAGGACATGACAAAAAAAAACACCCATAATTGCAAAATCAATACTTTCTCAGTTTCACATCTAAACTACAAAAAAAAAATGGTTTTACACCCATAATATATTCTTGTGGTGGGGACTTCCGACTTGGGCCTCATTTTTGTTATAATATATTTTTGATTTAATAATATATTAATTATTATATTAGCTTCGATACGGAGCTGAAAAAATATTGTTTTTATCTTTTATTTTTTTTCTATCTAAATAATTAATAAACGATATTTCCTAATTTCTGCAAGCCTATAGATCAGAAATCATACCTAAAAGGTTCTATAGCAGACCAAAAATGTATAAAGTTTACCGTTTCCCTTTCAAAATCAGGAAAAACCAAAAATACATAGATTACATAGAAGAATTACATATTTGTCAACTTAAAACTACGGCACGTTGTAAGGTTTTTAAAAATAATAAAATTTGTATGTAATATTTTTTAGATATAGATTTATTCTATCAATATACAGTGTGATTCACCCTGTACATTGACAAACCAAAAAAATATAACAAAACCCTTTCTCCTAAACACTTTTTCTCTTATTTCGCAATTTTTAATACAATTTTAACGACTTAAGATCTGAAAATTAGACAAATGTTAGATCTTAGCCCTGAAGTGGGCTATAGCATTCACAGTTTTCTCAAAAATCTGTAGTAATACTTTTAATTTTATATTAAGTAAATTTCTAGATTGCTATGTGTCGCGTGTGATTGAATCAGCAGTCAACAATATTATCCGAAAAATATTTTCATTAAATTGTTGATTACGATTTATAGGCAACAACGGCAAAACATTATTTATAGACAGGCGAATGACGATCAATTCTCATTGTATCCATCGGTATACTCAAAATATAATTTTAAGCACTGTATTGTCATTTATTACAATGTATTTTTAACTATATTTATATTTCTGCCAAGTACCACCTAGTATCTACAGATTCGCATCAATTTAATTAAATTGATTATTTGAAAGATATTCTTTACTTTCAGTTATAATAATTTCTGTAGTCTTGTGATCCCCGCCCTTAATATGCCCTGAACCTAATGCACTGGCTTTTTATCGTTTTGTTTCATTTTTTTTTTTGTGGGCTTTAATTCTGCTAATTTTAGTTACATTTTATTGCTATTTCGCCTTGCCTTGATACATGATATCAGATATGCTTAAGTACATTTACACGGATATCATGATATGTTACCAAATTTTTAATTGTTTGCCCGCCTTTACTTGATTTTATAATTTCCATGTATTTTTTTTTCTTAGATTTTTCCATTAAAGAAACATAAACACCATAAAAACATATATATATAATTAAGTTCTATTTGTGGTCTGCCTAGATAACAGGTGTAATGAATGATAATTATAGTTGGCTGCTGTCTGTTTTATAATAGTAGTCATGCGTGTATGTTTTACTAGGTGTTTATGTTTTTATAATAGACAAATCTACGACAAGAATACATGCATACTATATTTATATATACGATGCACAGTGTACACCATTGACACCATTGCCAGTTCAAGTGTATAGGAGACAAATTTAGGCAGTTTATAATTTATGTCAAGAAAAATGCAAGTAGCTCAAATGAGAAATTTGCTTACACATGTTCTATGTGTAAACAAAATTCTCATTGTTTATGCTGATTACACAATTATCACGAGTAACCTAACTTAACCGTTCAATGTATTATTTTAAATATTTTTATTTGTTGTGTTCTATCAATCATACAGCAAGAACACACAATCCACAAAGCTCGCAAAGCTTTAGTTTCAAGTCAGTGGACTTGAAAAGAAAGAAAGAATTGACTAAAGAAAGTCAATTTCAAGGCGGTTTTATAACCGAGTATAAACAGTCCCCTAGCACAAGCTAACAGTGTTGGCCAACTTGTATAATTGCGGTGCCAGGGACGATCATTTACCCAAGCCCAGGCTCCAATACACAATAGCAAAGTATAAACATTTAAAATTTATAAAATCAATGTTCTGGTCGTGGATGATTTTAGTAAATAGTTTTTCGAAGGATCTTGCCTATACTCTAATCTCTGAGTAAAGGTGGGTGACTATGCTGTGTGCATTCTCCAATAATTATCCACCTGGTCGAGAAGTGGAATTTGGAAATGAATCGAGTTGTTTCAGATCAATCTTTAAGAAGAATGTTGTGAACATCGACCAACGTCTCTTCAAATGGCTAAAACCAAGCCCGATTAGTAGGGGCTGGTTTTGATTCGGTATTTATATTATATTTTATAAAAAAAAGTTACTGCGACAAATTTGTTCTCAGCTATCCCGGTAAACACGCTCTACCTACTGTAGTTTTTGTCGTAAAGCCTTGAACGACCCGGTGATTGGGAGCCGATAGGTCAAAGCGCAAGCGACACGTGCCGGTATCGGAGCTATCCTCAAAAATGTATTTATAGACAGCGTGCCGGACACAATCGATCGTCTGCAATGAGAGAATACACGGGACGATCGTCGATTCCTGACGGAGGACGTCGTAAATTGTCGCTGCCTCGGCCGCTGTCTTATATCCACTTTGTTAGTCCGTAATATCCCTATAAATAAATCTTCTCCCGCCCGCCCGTTCGACGTCCATCGACATGCCCGCGTAGGTACCCGCAACGATAATAATAATATTACACCGCATAACATTATTATACCGACCGGCAGCTACTACTTGGCTCCGTGGCACGCGTCCAGAGAATGCCGTGCCGGGCTCAAGCCAAATTTCGATAAAATAATTAACTCTTTGTTCCCGGCGCGCGAGGGTCTCCCCTTGCACAAAACTCAAAAGCGTCAACGGCGGACGCCCGCGGCGCGATGTGCTCCTTCATAAATTATATGGCCCGCGGTTTATAATCTATATTATCACCGGCCGCCGCCTGCTACTAGGGGTTCGTAAAATACGGTCGATATTGTTGTTCTTTTATTGTTATACGTATATTATTATAATAATAATAATGCGGCCCGCCATCTGCATCACCGCCTTGACGGCGGCAAATGTCGAGTACAGCTGTGTGTGTGTGTGTGTGTGCCGCAAAAGTACTGCGCGCCGAATGCTTTATGCCGCTATAATATTATGTGCTTTACGGCCGTGCCGGTAGTCGAACGGCGCACGGCGCCTGAGTAATTATTGCCGTGCCGCCGTCAATAATTTGTTCCTAGGTTCAACTCCGTCGTGTTCAATAATATAATATTGATAGATACACGCACACACGCACTCTAACTACATTATACATTTTAACATATAAATATACCTATTGTATATATCTGTATTGTACTCCCGAAGAGATACAGAGAGACAAAATGGCGTCAGATTGATGATAGCGATTTGCTTAATATATATTATTATAATTTTTTTTTAATTCTTTACTCTTCTAGCAACGATAAGTGTTTAAAACTTAAAAAAAATGAGTTCCATCAATCTGTGTATCGTTAATTATTTTTTAGTGTAATCGAACAATTGTTTTCTCCCCGGCGCGTTTCGCGTTTCGTCCACCTAAAGAGTGCCATGTAGTCCTTTAACGGTTTTTTAAGTGCGGTATAATTTTTTTTTCCATTATGTTTTAATTGCAATCCCTCCGGACTATGTCAATTGTTATTGTTGTTAATCAAACGGTTTTTTGAAAATATTTACATTGAATTAAAAGTTATATTTTGTTGTTGTTTTTTTGTTAATTGTTGAGTGATTTTAAAAAATTTTACTCGCACACGGCAGCGGGCGTTGATCGAAGAAAATGATGGCGTTTAACCACTATGGGTACAGCAGTTTGAGAAACGAACAGTCTAACAAGCGGCTGAGAACCGACTACGAGAACCAGGACGCACGGACCAACAGTACCGGTTCGTCGTATGAAGATGGCCGTCGCAAGAACGCTGAGACGCAGCCAAACCACATACTGCTTTTGACGGTCACCAAGGTGACGTATCCCATAAACACGGACGTCATACACACAATATCAAAGGACTACGGCAATGTGCTGCGCATAGTGATATTTAGGAAGCGCGGCGTACAGGCGATGGTCGAGTACGAAGAGGTGGATCAGGCGATGCGTGCCAAGCAGCTCATGGACGGCGCTGACATTTATCAAGGGTGCTGCACGCTCAGAGTGGAGTACGCTAAGCCGTCAAAGCTAAACGTCTACAAGAACGACTCTGAAACATGGGACTACACGACGCCCACTCCTGGAGAGAAAAAGTCCACGCCCTTGTTGCCGGATCCACCAAGAGCGCCGTTGATATCGACTAGACCCACATTCCCCAGGTTCGATTATGAGTGTAGGTCAGGTCTGTTGACGACACCCCACGATTTACCCAACAATAATTATGGGGACAGTTATCCCACGTCTTCTGGACGTTGTGTGCTAATGGTGTATGGACTGGACCCGGACAAAGCCAATTGTAATCGACTGTTCAATTTGTTTTGTCTGTACGGTAACGTGGTCAAAATCAAGTTCTTGAAGAGCAAGGAAGGTTGTGCAATGGTACAGATGGACAACGAAATGTCAGTCGATAGATGCATGGAGAACTTAAATAAGCTGACGCTCATTAGCGGCAATATGTTGTCGTTACAAGTGTCCAAACAGGTATATCTATCAGACATCATGGTACCGTACGATCTGCCTGATGGTTCTCCTTCGTTTAAAGACTATTCCAATTCGAAAAATAACAGGTAAATCATTATAATTCTTGTATACTTTCCGATTTATCACTAAAAAACATACTAATTTAGAAATGGTATTAAGACCATAAAAATATCAGTAAAAAAAAATTACTAAAATAGCTGCAATAATAACCTAAATTAAATAATGAAAAAATTATCTAAGTAAACAACAGTAATATAAAAAAAATGACATTACAATTTTTTTTACTTAAAACAAAATATTATCCTTTAAAAAAAAAAAAAAAACTAAAATTCTTTAAAACAAAACATTACAAGTTTTTAAGGAAAAATATTTGTGTTCTTAATTTGTTGTCTGTTTTCATCACAATACCTATAGAAAAACAACTAAATATTTAGTAAGACAATTTGAAATTTGATTTTTTGACATTTAAAAACACGACAATTTTTTAAAAATATACTTTATTTATAAGAAATACATTGGAAATTTAACTACTTAATCATGTTATTGAAATAAAAATTAAGGATTATTTGTTTAAATAATAGTTTTTTTTGTTAATATGTAATAATAATTACAGTTGTAATTTCTGACAAATCAAGCACTGTGTATTAATAAAATGTGCCGAAACTAATTTTGACTATTTTTCATTAAGAGGACGCTACCTACCCGTAATTTATCCATGAATAATGGTTTTGCGTAGTAGCCAAATACATGGAGTAGCCAAATACAATATTTACAATGGATAGAGAAAAACTTTGTCTACAGGATAGCGTTTTTAGTTTTTTGATAACTTAAGCACAATCAAAATTATTCATTCGTAAATATTCTTTATTTTTTCTTTTTTTAATTTGTTTATAAAAAAATATTAAGTATAGATATCGAAAAAATTTAATGGTACCTCAAAGATTCTTCTCTATGTATTGTGAAAATTTGGTAAATTTACTGTTAAATTTTTATATTTTGATATACAAAACAAGTACTTGTTTAAAAATATGTATTTCCATGTTGTATTGAAATAATAATATCAATAATAAATAAACAATGACTTTTGCAGATACCATTCAAATTCCAATGGTAAAAACAGGCGTCAGACTCCGTCGAGTGTACTGCATTACTTCAACGCACCACCAAACATATCAGAAGTAAATTTGAGCCAGACCATAACTGAAGCGCTGAAAGACTCAAACACTAAAATATCGGTGAAAATGTTTCCCCCCAAAGGATCCGAGGCCCGTAGCTCATCAGGGCTCGTTGAGTTTTCAGATATAGCTACAGCCGTCGAAGTAATCATGGCCGTCAACCATTGGCCTATCAAATGCGAGTCATCCAAGTTTCCGTACTTACTAAGACTATGCTTTTCATCGCTGCCCAAAGGAATAGGCAACGCAGAGTCTGCACAGTGACATCACGCTGCTGCTTAATTAACTACCGTATCTCATGTTTGTCAATTATTACAATTTAGTGCATATTATCAGGTTAATTTTATATTTTAAAGAGACGTTGACTATATTATATTACACATTTCCTATTTAAATATTTGGAAGGACTAGGGTTATAATAATTAACTTGTCACCCCTTCGATTGCCTGCCAAAAGTTGATTATTTTTTATTTATTTGATTACTTTTTCCTCTAAATGTTTTTTTTATGATCTAGACTTGTCAATTATAAACAAATTATCCATATCTTTTATAACCTATTTTACCGTGTAGGAATAAATCATTTTTTTTTCCTTAAGTTTTCGGTCTAATTTTTTGTTTTAATAAATATTCAATGACGGGGTGAATGGGTTGTGGGTCGAAACCATAATCTTACCAATATAAAAACTGTGGTCCTTATAAAAAAAAATGTTTTGAAACTATATATTTTGTCACAAAATGCTAATGAAGCGTGCACATTTTAAAACGATACTGAAATATATGATTCCTATTATTAATATTAATGTTATAAATTAATTATGGTATTGGTTCTATTTATTTCAGGGGGAATAATTTCCCTCCAGAGAATTAGCTTGATAGTAGATTGTTATTATACCATATAGATATATATATATATATGTAATACCTATTTAATAATGAAGTAAAGACGGTTCATTTATTATATTATAGTTAATTTGTTTTATAGAGCTAGAACTATAGTTGTTTTATGTTTTATAATTTTTGCAACAATTATAAATTATTTTAGTTGAATGTTTAAAATGTATATTAGATTAATAGTTAATTATATCAATTATTAGGTTGTATTTATTTTATTGTTAAATTTAGAATAAAATTGATTAAAAGGACTATTAAGTTACACCATTTCATTATTGTTATGTAATGTTTTAATTTTTTTACACCTAGAAATACTTTATCATATGTCGTTGTTGTAGAATTTTTTGTGGTATAGATAAATTTATTCAAGAGTTAATGTTTAAATTAATAAATAGGGAAGTTACCTTAAATTTATTATTGTCTATTGATAAAAAATATAAAACAAATATCTTCTTTTATATGAAACTCTCCAATTTTATTTTTATTATTATAATAACCAATATTGTACGAAATTTGAGTTTTTTGTTTCTCTTGTTTATCTATGCCACCGAGTAAATTCTTCATTGCACATCCTCTCAAACAAAGATACTACTACTAGCTATACTTTAAAAAATATGAAGTATTCATTTGTTCGTTTACAGTTTATTAATTAAGCCGGTGAAAATAAAAGTGGCGTAAGTCACATTTATGTTGTTTTTGAGAAATCGAAGGGTTTGCGTTCTGTATTTCACACAAGTCCATTAGCTAAAGAAATTTTAGGTGGCGCTCTCTCGCGGACAAAGGCACAACTTGACTTACTCTACTGACTAAATGACTCTTTTAGAGTATACTAATAGCACGATGTAGAGATCTTCTAGCGATATTACGGATTTTTTTATAAATTAGACTTACGTCACTTTCATTCTCAATTGAATCAGTGCTGATAATCCGGCTGTTATCATAAACGCGATTGAACAATAATACAAATAATAATTATAATACTAGTTATATATATATATATAAATATATAGTAGTTACTACTATAATCACAGAATATCATATGAAAACAGATTGATTACTAAAGATGTAAGTAAATAGTGAGCTGATAAGCACTCCACCGAAACCAGCGTGACCATGTTAGTCGGCCCAAAATTATCAAACTTTTTGTTTGCCATATTAAATTTAAAAAATTAAAAAATAAATATTACAGTTTTATATTTATTTTAATTTTTACTGTTCCCCTATATTGGCGCAATAGCAAGCATATTATATAGTTTGTACAAGGTGATCTTTTAATTGACATTATTTTTCTGACCAAAAAATGATTAAAACATATTTTTATGCTGGCTTGGTTCGAAATAATTACATTATTTTGATTGTTTATGTCTAATACAAAGTTTGTTTGAAAACATCAAAATATGTAGGTAAAGAAAATAATTGGTGTTATTCTATATTATTTAACAATATCATACAATTACTAAATAGTAAATACATACCTTTTTAGTATTATCCAAAGCTCTATATACTTTTGAAACTAAATACCAAACTAACTGATTTACTGGTTTCTATCAGCGCTTCTATTGTAATTAATTTATTTACTCTACAATAGACACTGCACTATTTATGTCGTGCAGAAAGATTGTATGTAAAGAAATAATTTATAAGTGAATGTGTTAAGAATGATACATTAATCATAGAAATATGCTTATGTTTAGCATAACAAATCCAATAAAAGAATATAATGTGTAGTATAGTAGTAGATTATAGATAAAAAAAATTGGCATGATAGCTAATTGTGATAACTGCTTGAGCTGGTGCCGGCTTCCACGGTTGGTATATATTTTCATACATGGACGAGAGTAATAAATTAATCTATTCTGTGTTGTTTCATTGGAAGACAACCGGTAGCCATGTTGGAAAAATTGATAATACGAGTCGCCGACAAACCCGTTCATTGTCGCCAAGGTTCACGTAGAATGTATATTTACAGTCGTCGCCCCACGCCCGAGTCGGCGGCATTTATCAGTAAGTCCACCCCAAACTAAATAGGTAAATTATAAAATCTACTACAAAAATGTTTTTATAAAAAAAATCGACAGCAGAATATTTGATTTTAAATGAATAACATAATATCAGTTAATAAATATTTACTAATAATTATTCGTTTGTATTAATCTATCATCTATTTAGTAAATAACATTTAATACGGTGAACCACTGGTTTTTGCGTTATCGCGCCGCCGCCCATAGAGTAATATTACTCTATGTCGTTACCGTACCAATTTATCGGGCACATAGAGTAATATAGAGACGACGTTTCGCCTATCTCAGGAGTGTAACTAATTTGAAGCCAAACCGTTCGGTCATTGATCCAGATCCAAAGTCACTTTAGTACTAGGACTGTCTGGTTGATGGATAAAATATGTATACATTTAATGTATAAGGTTCCCTCAACCAAATAATACATTACTCTATGATCAGGCAACGACTGTACTATAATGCTGGAAGCTTTGTGGAATGTAAACGTGTTTCAGTCACGCCAACAAATTCAAAATTAATCCCAATTCCCATATTATGTAATTTTTTATAAAAGACAAGAGTTTAGGAAAATATGTATACTCTGTTCGGAATAAGAACAGAGTATAGGTAGGGTATACATTAACATAAATACACACTTTTTTTACCAATATACTATTATGTGTATATTTTATTTTTGTGTTATGGGTGGTCTACAAGTGCTCATAATTATGTACATCTGCTAAAAAAATAAACATAGGTAGATGTTAAAAAAATCACTAATTAAAAAAAAAAAATGTATACATAGAAAAAAATCCATTTTGATGATATAAAATTCCAACTTAGAATTTTTTATTGGCTATTCTGCTTGACGCTTGTACATAGGAATGCATTAGAAGGACAAATACACTGTTTAGTATATAGCTTATAAGTATATAAAATAGATAGAAACATTAGTAACATTAGACTACGTATACTTTACTATAACGTTGGTATTTATTTACAGTGTCGATTTTATTAACTATCTTTTATTCATTTTTTTTTTAATTTATTAATTTTCAATCAAAGCCAATACAGTGAGGTTTGGGCATAGTGGTAGTAGAGTATATTGGGGAAGGGGGAAAGTATAAGTCTACAGAAATTATTATAACTGAAAGTGATAAATTCATTTTCAAATAAATGCTTCGATGCATATCTGTTGATATACAAGCATTGTCAATAATGTCCTTGAAAATGTATTTTTAGTAGGTATTAGTAAAGATACAATTAGGATTGATTTTGAGTCTATAATAATTTTTTGTCGTAATTACTAAAAATCGTATTTAATAGTTTTATTAAAATTATTTTCAGAAACCTGTTAAATGTTGATTCAATTCAGTCATAGTAACCAAGAAATTTACTACGGTCAAATTGTAATTTCCCCTTTTTTTGTTTTACCTTAATAAAAAAAAGTACGACTGCAAATGTTTGAGAAATTTGTATGTGTTCTAGATCTAGGCCCAAACTAAATACATCATCAGTAAGTCTAAACATTTGTTTAAAAAAAAATAAAACGTTTGTACCCCTTCTAGGAGGAAAGGATTTTAATATTTTTTTGATTTTTCTAAGTATATCCATAGTATTTTATCTGAAGAATATTCTATACAAATTTAGAATTAGTTTGACTATTGAGGAAAGATTTATAACGTGCTGTAATAATTTCAAGATGAAAAATAGGTACATTTCTTTGGTGTTTTTTCTCGATATAAAGGGTAAGAGGTGATCTTTTCAAATTATTGGACCATTAATTACATTAAAGCTAATATATAAGCACATTCCCTTGAAATTAAAAAAAAATATTATGACAAATAGATAAAGAATACATAAAATTGTTTATAATCACGTAATGTTATGTAATGTTTTGTAATACACAAACAGCTAGTTTTGTGTTTACACTTCCTGCTGTACCACAATAACCGGACGTTTACCAACCGAATTTCGTATAAGTTTTTAAATATATTCTTGCTATGATATTTGCGAATTTCATCGTCCTCAAGGCAAAAGGTATCAATCAATTTGTATACGTTCCATATTATACTAAACATAAATTTGTTTTGCATTAATTTGAATAGGAACAACTATTTAAAAAATATATATTTATGTTAATCCTTACAACAAGGACAAATTTACAAATAAAAAAATGGAAATCTTATATTGGGTAATTATGTATATATTTTTATGGAATAACCAAACCATAACATTTTTTTAGAATTTTTTTTATTCATATAATGAATACTAAAACGATAATAATAATATCATAAAAAAACTAAGCACAGTTCAAACCAAATAGTCTAAAACAGGACAGTAAGAAATTACCAAAGTGGAGTCTAGTATTCACAAAAAAAAAACACATCTTTAAAAAACCAGCATTTATTTTTACAATAAAACAAAAAATCATACAAAACATAATTTTTTCCGTTTGCTACGACCGCTGATAAACATGACGTTAATGAAGTAAAAAAATAATACACAATTTTAATTGACAGCGATTTAGAAAAGTTTTTCATCTAAATATAACTACGCATATTCTCTATTATTGACTAAAATAATTATCGTAGATACATTTTTTTTTATATTTAAAATAATGAGAACTTTATCTAGTGTCTCTCGTCGGTTTTTTTTATATTATTAGGTGCTTGTATTTAAGGTAAAAATTATGTTTTCTAAAAAATTGACAAGAGAACCTAGTTGAAGCTCTTCTCTTTTTAACAGTATGAACATTTATTTTCTAAGACCATTTCGCTCTGACCAACACGTTTTACGATTGTTTTTTTAAAGGGTATGTCGTCCTATTAACTACTAATTATGAGTAACCTTCGAAAAAAAAAAAAGATATTTAAATCATTTCACAAATACGATTTGTAATATGATTTACAAATCGTAAGTCAGCAGCAATAACGGAAAAATAAATTCTAGGTATTATTCCACGTGCGTTCTAAACCGATTATATTCAAATGATTTATGCTGTAAATAAATTAAAGCAGATTGATTTATTCGTTATTTATCTGTGTGTGAAAATCCATATTGTGGATACGCGTGTACAAGTGTTTCAGGTAGTACGGGATTATTGAGTCACATTTTAATAATAGTCCACCAAACGTGAAGGTTCT